AATATTTAAGTTTTGATATAGATTCATAGATATAAATAAAAACACACACACACACACACACACACACACACACACACACACACACACACACACACACACACATATATATATATATATATATATATATATATATATATATATATATATATATATATATATATATATATATATATATATATATATTATTGAGGGCATTATTGTAAATTGACTCATATAACCTAAAATATAACCCTGAACCAAACAAAGTAATATTATATTACACCATCCAAACCAAACACACAAGGTAATCTTACATTCCCAAAATCTCACATTACCTTCCAGGAGGTAATCCTATTACCTGAGGTAATCCAAGATTCCGTGAACCAAACGCCCCCTAAGCGTTTCCGCGTTTGGTCCAGGTCATCTTAGATTACCTAGGTAATCTGAGTCTGGTAATGTTATATATATTACATTGTTTGGTTCAAGTTATGAGATTACCTAATAATGTTAGATTATCTGAAAGCTGATGTGGCGGTAATGTTTCAAGGTAATGTGATTACCCCCATTTTCTTAGATAATCTTAGATTATTTTGAATTATTTCAACTTTGCCCTTGTTAACTAATAAATAATAATAATAACAATAATAATAATAACAATAATAATAATAATAATAATAATAATAATAATAATAATAATAATAATAATAATAATAATAATTCACTTTTGTAATTTTGCAAGTGCAATATTTTAATTCTAAATATGCAAAATGTTAATATTAAATGTGCAAATATGAAAATTTTACAAAAATGCATATTTTAGTGTTCAGTGTTCATAGTAAAATTAGTGTTAATTATAAAAATACCACTGTGTTTTAAAAAAAAAAAAATATAATCTGATATGTCTAATTTTTCTAGATGTCATCCAATACATACCTACATGCGTATATACATACACACACATATGTGTGTGTGTGTGAAAAAAATGTCTAAGATAATTTCCTTGTGTTCAGTGTTCACACGTGATGATGCATGTAGATTTTTTAATAGTTTAATAAATATAACATAATTTAAAAAAGAAAAAAAGTGCAGGAAGTGAGCAAGTTGGTGCCGAATGGCTGACTGGATGTCACTCCCATCACTAGGTTTTTTCATATCTACAGAAGAGGACAATTGCAACTTGCACTTCACGTACGCTGAATCAATGTAAGATTAAGAAATAACTAGGTACTACTCCTATATTTAAAAAAAAAAAAATTATCCAATTTTTTTTTCTAGTAATCACCATAGTTTAATTTTGAAATTTTTTTTGTCATACTACATGTGTCCGGTCTTGATCAGATCAGCCAATCGATTAACAATTACATATATATTCAGACCAATTACATTGTATCGAGTAAGACCTCAAGGATGACCTTAATAAGTTAATTACCACAATAAATTAGAATGATGAAACTAATAAACATGTATTAAAATTTATTTACATGAAACTAATTAATGGAGCATTAATCTTCCATTTCCCTTTTGAAGAAATTTTAATTTATTTGTCGTTTGGCTGTGTACAATTCAAAAGAAGTTTTATTAGTTCATTAAAGGGCAGTACAGTAAAGCATTCCATTTTTTTAATCAAAATTTGGCACTGCCTACCTATGCATGCTTAATTTATTTTATGTACTTCATGCAACTAACTCACTCGTCATAACTACCTCACGTAAACTTAATTAATTCACTAATTAATTAATTAATTAAGATAAGTTCGAAACCCGGCAACCAAGCTCACCATGTACTGTATGCGGTATACCCCCCTACCCCCACCCCCACCACCCCCCAAAAAAAACATTTGGGAGCAATTCTAACCAAATTAGTCAGACTGTTAATTTAATAATTACAAAATTATTATAAGTTCGACCCTCAACATAAGTGATCTATTGGTCTATTTGGTTTGAGTGGGTTCAATCACTTCAACCATCCTAAACCCTTTGCTCTAATGTAATTAGTTAAACTCTTTGCTCCCATGTAAGTAGTTAAACACTTGATAAATAACACAGTTTCATAAATTAACACCCGAAATATATACTCGGGATACATAGCTCAAATAGTCATTCAATCAGCGTTTAGTCTTACTTTTAGTAGTAGGGTGGGTAAAGATCTTTTTGCGCACAAAAGTATACAAATAATGAGTTATCCCCTCCAAAAAAAACAAAAAAACAAATTCCTTCATACTTGAGTCTAGAGCCAAACGTGTCCATGATGTACTGCACAGGGCACAGCGTTGCAGGCAAGTTGTAGGGCAGAAAACTTCAAAGTTATGAAACAGTCAAACTTCTCCAATGCCACCCAAGCAATTAAGACATTAGAAAAGTATAATTTTAACCTTTTCTGTCCACCATTAAAAAAAAAAAAAAAAAAAAAAACCCTTTTCTGTCCACATGAATCATTGCTTACGCATAAGTGACATAATAAACGAGTAATCATGTACGGAAACAATGTGACCGCGATATATCCTCCATGGCCCCGTAAATGGAATTTTCTGCAATATTTTATAATAATTCAATATTTTACGTTTGAAAAATAAAATTATATTAGTATTGAATATAATTGTATCTTTTTTTTTTTTTCAAAATGCAACAATTTTAAGATGAGTTAATTAGCGAAATGATCTATTGACTATAGCAAAATTACTAATTTTATCATTGATTATTTCTTTGACCAAATAAGTCCTTCACCTTTAAAAATCTTAACCAATTTGGTCTTCCGCTTGTTTTGCCGTTACACATGCATCTATTAACTTGAGACCAAATTGGTCATTTCACTATAGTCAATTGACCATTTTAGCAATTAACTCAAAGACACCAAAATGTGCACTCAAAGAGAAAAATATGCACTCGAAGAACGAAAATAATACATCCAAAGAAAAAGTTATGCACTCGAAGAGACAAAAATATGCGTCATTTTAACACTTAAGGTGCCATATTTTAACACTTAAGGTGCGTTAAGGTGCATCAATTCAACAATGGTATGAGGACAATCAGGAAGCGCGTTTTAAAAAAAAAAAAAAAATCATTGATTTGAGCCGTTGATCTAGATTTGATCAACGACTCAAATCTCACAGCATGTTTCACATGGGAGACTCTTCGCATCTGATCTATCTCCTCCCTATATAGGGGATGGTTCACGTGCGAAGAGTCTCCTAGGTGAAAGATGTGGTGAGATATGAGTCGTTGATTAAATCTAGATCAACGGCTCAAATCAATGAATTTTTTTTAAAAAGAATTGCGCTTCCTGGTAACGGGTTCATTCTCATACCATTGTTGAGCTGATGCACATTAACGCACCTTAATTAAGTGTTGAATTAGCGCACCTTAAATGTTAAAATGACACACCTTAAGTGTTAAAATGGTGCCTTTCAGTGTTAAAAATGATGCACCTTAAGTATTAAAATGACGCACCTTCAGTGTTAAAATTGTGCACCTTAAGTGTTAAAATGACGCACCTTAAGTGTTAAAATGACGCACCTTAAGTGTTAAAATGACGCACCTTAAGTGTTAAAATGACGCATCTTAAGTGTTTAAAATGACGCACCTTAAACTTTGAAAATACGCACCTTAAGCTTTACAATTACGCACCTTAAGCTTTCAAGTGTAGCATTGACGCACCTTAAGTGTTAAAACGACGCACCTTAAACTTTGAAAATGCGTATCTTAAGCTTTTACAATATACAAAATTACCATAATGCTCAAGGACGGAGCCAAAGTGGGGGCAGCTGCCCCCCTCACCCCACCCCCACCCCATATATAGTCTTTTTATGTATATATGTATATATAGTACATGTTTTAGTATTACTATAAAAAAACTAGTAAATATATATCAACTAGATGTGAGTTAGATTAATTGGTAAAGCACATGTTTAGTAACAGTAAAGGTCAAGGGTTCAAATCATAACATTAATATAGTTTTACAATTTATATTTACAACTATATTTCTTAGGTAATTTATTTATTCATTTTTAAATTATCTCTTTTGCTTTAATGTTTCGCCTTTACTGGAAAAATTTTCTGGATTCGTCTGTACTTTTCCGCCTCCCCCCAACCGAATTTCTGGCTCCGTTCCTATAATGCTACTGCGTTTTTTTTTTTTTTTTTTTTTTTAAAATTTATCTTGAATCAGGGCTGTTGATTTTGTCAATATCTATGATTATGATTAAATCGCATGTTTCACCTGGAGACCTCCTTCGCATTTGATCTCATATATATATATATATATATATATATATATATATATATATATATATATATATATATATATATATATATATATATTAAATCAATGAATATATAGTTAGATAATTAATTACAGCTTAGAATGCTAAAAAACCGGTGAGGTGAGCATGCACATACGACAGTCGACACATGCTATCCTTGAAAATATATACATATTGCCGTAATTTTGGGCTAATTACTGTATACATTTAAATTTTTATATAAAAACTAATACCATAAGATTCTAAAAAGACTAGCTGGAAAATACGGAGTATGTTACTAGTATATGCATTGATAACTACTACATATTATTTATTTGTATCGGGAAAAGCTTGATCTAACCTTGAAATTGCATTAGGAATTCACTCATTAATTGTCACAAATTGTATTCGGATTTACTTTGAGTCTCATCGTATATACTTGTAGAGTTTGATTCTTACTCGAAAGAAATACTAGTCTAGATCTTGCAGTTGTATTAGCAATTCGCTTATCAACTATATAAAGTAATTGAGTTAATAAATTTTTTAGATTATGAAAATAGGAAGTATTCGTTATTAGACATTTATTTTGACTAAAATTATGTTGATAATTATCAAAACCCTAGAACATCCAGCTAGCTAGCTGAGACTGTAGAAAGCGTGTGATGTTCGCGATTGGGTACCCCCTTTGACAACTTCACAAAGTCAAACCAATCCAATGAAGTATGAACACCCAACACAAAGCTGCCATCTTCCTTACCTTTTCTCTCTCTTTAAATATCGTAATCCCCCATAGTAATCAAATCAAAAAGTCAGCGCCATTCATCATCATAACTTTCCATTTCGATCTCCAAGCTTAGCTTCATCAGTTCAAGAACCGGGTTTTGATGGGCGAGTGTATTGGGTTTGAAGACAACTGGGGCCTGCAAGCCATAGTTCAACAACCTCCATTAATGGCCTCCTCCGAGTTCACTCTCCAATCTTGCCACGACTACCTGTTCGATTTCTCCCAAGAAAATGTTCTGAACTTCGATGATTTTGTCAGGACCGCCATGGTTCCCGACGATGCCTTGTTGGAGGAGCTTTACAAGCCGTTTATCCAGCCTGCAGCGTCCATTTCCTTCACCGGAGAAGTGAAACAAGAAGCCGCTGTTCATCAGATGCAGCAGCAGCAAGACGGTGATGTTAAGAAGAGTGGTTTAGATAAATCTTCGCCTGTTTTGGAGGCTCCTAATAATTATGTGCCCAAGTTCAAAAGAAGGTTGGTTTAGTTTCTGATGATCAATTACAATGAAGAGAATGTGTATATAGGTTGAAATATCTGAGTTTAGAGTTTATTGGTCATTTTTTAACAGGAAAAATGAGCATAAAAGAGTGGTGGTTCAAGTTCCAGCTGAAGAACTGTGTGAGGATAAGTGGGCATGGCGAAAATATGGCCAGAAACCCATTAAAGGCTCTCCCTATCCGAGGTATATATATATATATATATATATGTTTAGTCTTTAATTTTCCTCCAACTTTCAAGATCTTGTGATCCGATCCATTGACATTAGTGTAAGATTTTCCGGTATGACTAATTGAAGCATGTGCTTATCTCAAGTAAAAGCCTAAACTGGTAGTTGGGTTGCACATTATATGCTCAATAGGCCCCCTGGTGTACAATGGGTTTCAAGCAATACCTGAACCGTGAACTTTGGATCTGGCTCTGATACAAATTAAAGCATGTGTTCCATTTCAACTAAAAGCCTAAGTTGGTAGTTAGTTGCACATTAATGGTCATATGTTGAACATGACTAACTGACTAAAAATTGAATATGCCCGAATCGCAGGAGCTATTATAGGTGCAGTAGCTCGAAGGGGTGTTTGGCGAGGAAGCAAGTAGAGCAAAGCAACAGCGCGGCGGGGATGTTCATAGTAACCTACACGGCGGAGCACAGCCACAGCCAGCCGACGCGGCGGAACTCCCTGGCCGGGACTATCAGAAACAAGTTCCCACCGGCCGTGAAAGCAGCTGCCGAGGATTCAACTGCTCATCATGTTCCGGAATTGGTGGCGGCGTCATCAGCTCTGTCGTCCCCGACCGCCAACAATTGGAGGGCGGGCAGCGAGATCAAAGACGAGGATGATGATGATGAAGAGTTGGGGGAGAAGATGCAGGTCGTTGAAATGAGTGATCAGAGCGGTGTGTCGCAGGTGGCGATGGATAATGAAGATTTCTTTGCAGGGTTAGAGGATCTGGATGGGCTAATTTCATACTTTTCTTATTCTTCACAATGTAACTATCCCTCAATGTTTTCTAGCTAGCATAGCATAGTGCATGGATTACACAGGCTAGCTAGCTGTTGGGGAAAAATATATATCCATTCAGTTTTGTGAATACTAAATAGTAAGTGTCACATGAATGATGAAGTTGTAATAAACTCATAACACACAGTTACTTTAAATATGGGTATATTGTCACACACCAGTCATCCCACCTAACGAGTCGTTGAGAGGAACTTCACTTTTTTTTTTTTGGTGGGGGAGCAAGAGATAGGCATATTATTAATTTAATTTGATGCTTCCAATGTGTATGAAGATATGGATTTTGAAGGAAAGATTAGAATTTGTTATTATTCTTCTTCTATGTTTTATTATTATTATTATTTGTTATTAAATAAAAGAATTTAATTTGTGACATCATACTCAAAATTATAAATTTCTATGTTTTACAATTAATTTGATGTGTAGTACGGAGTAGTAATTTATTTAATAATATATCGTACAAGTTAAAACGTTGAAAAAATAATTGTTGATTAATTGATACCAAATGTCATACGGGGCAAGTTGTGTAGACACAGGCACACTAAAGGCAAGAGGAGAGAAATTTAACAATCAGGAAAGGTCAAATTTTTGAAGAACAATAAGAAAAAGTAATTTAAGGAGAGATGATTAGCAATTTAACTTAATGGAAGCTTTATGCCTCTATGTGAGCTCATATATAAAGAGATATCTAATTATTATTATTTTTAAATAATCGTGATTCTTTACATTGTATAATTTTAAAAATTCAAAAAATAGTACGGAGTAATATCAATTATGGTAATTGCGCAAAATTTGTATGCAGCATCATGCCTACATTGTCCATATTACCTTTGAAATGAATGTTGGTTATTCTATGATGTCCAGTGCATTAGAGAAGTAGTTTCATCATTAGTTCTGATAATGTTCATTAAAATTCATACAGCATAATAAACCGCAATTCATAGTATACCAAGTGGCAAGCTGGTAACCACGATGGCAGCACTTGACCACCAAAAACTTATATTTACATTAGTTTCAGAATAACACAAATATCCAACTATACTAGTTAAGCCAAAACTCTACACAATTTCCAACTTATATCATTTATACAAAGCATAAAGGTGTATAAAATATGTACCTAAAATAACCTTGCTAGTACAAACTATAATAAATACCATGTACCTCACACTACCTAGTTTGAGCAAAAGAATAATAGAATGCAGAAAAAAAAAAAAAAAAAAAAAAAAAAAAACTTGAATAAGAGATGTGCTCGAGACCTCGAGTAGTATGAGATGTGAGATTATGTATATTGATCGTACTCTGACCTGTTTTGCTCCATTTTAAAGCAGATCCGTGGGTATTTTGCTGCTGGAAATCGTGGAAGTGACGGTAAGCCACTTTACAACAAAACGCTAAAACTATCAGGCAGCTTATATGGCAACATCTCCAATGCAGAATTATTCTTAACAATACCACCAGTGTTCCAAGGATAAGTTAAACTTGAAGCTGGAAAACGCCCAACTCACGGCCATGTTGTGTGAGCTTTACATTTCTTTCACCAACCCATTCTAGTCTATAAGACAGGTCAAGATTATGAAGCAAAAGTTTTAATCTGTCCATTTCAGTTGAAGCCTTGGAGCTCTCCTGTAAAAAATAAAAATAATAAGATGGCCGTGAGTTGGGCATTCTTTGTATATACCTTTCACTATGAAGCACTTGACTTTGTTTCAACAGATAATAGCATTTCCAATGGCCTATACTTCTAATGTATTGAATTATGAGAATAAGTCAACATAAATCTGCATTTCTTAAAGGAAATATCATTCTGTCAAAGCAATAGGCGAGTACCTTTGATGCACTCTGTCCATCTTTAGAAAGTGCAGGTGCCATTATACTGATCCTACTAGAATTAGGTGAGAACCCCTCCCATGGAGGGACAAAAATCAGTTTGGTGCACTGAACAGGAACAAGACTCCGGCTGAGTTTCTCCCACCATACAGATCCTAGCGACCACCATCTAATCATCAGTCCATTCTCAGAGAAAGCAAGTAGCCCCTGCAAGGAAATTTACATCCTCAAAACTGAACATCCACCCATTGGACTAATCCTTCCTCAAAGGGAAAGCACCCATCAGACACAGTTAAAACAATTGAACTTGTAACTCAAAATGTATAATCATTACAGGCAATCTTCCCTTTTAAAGTAAGACTCAGTGGACAAGGCTACCACAGAATGCAGGTTGGGGGATGAAGATGTAATGATTTGCAAACAATTTAAAGAACATACAACGAAAAAAAATTGATGATCACACAACCCAGGAGTTGCTAAACTAGAGATACACACATCAAAAGAAGAATGCAAAAGGGAAGGAAATAAAGTCAAGCAAGAAAGTTATTGAGAAGAGTGTAGAAACTCTACAAGCTCTCTGTTGATGGCACCTCAGCATGTGAAGGCAATGAAAGAATACATAAAATGAGAACCCACAAAAGAGCAAGGGTGGCTATAGCAAAGAACCACAATAGAAACTCAGCTCATGAAGTGTAATATCAGAATACCTCTCCATCCGGTGAAAAGCTAAGGGCAGATATAGCAGTATTAACAGCCATTTCTGAAGCTCCTCCAAGCAAACTTGGAAGCCCTGGAGGTCCACTTGCATCCAAAATCTTTATTTTTGTAATGCTGAAAATAAATTGGAAAAGAGAACGCAAAGATATCTTTACTGTAAAAGTGTAAATGGATGAAAATAAAAACTCACTTTATGTAGGCCAGCATGGAAGATTTCACAAAATAAGCTTTTAAATTATAGATGCATAATGCATTCTAACAAAACTTGGAAAATTGAAATACAGTATATGAAATAAGGTCCATAAAAATAGCATGCATACAAAGAAGTGCAAATGATTTGTTATTCTGCCAAAGTAATGCAGTAACACATAAGATATTAGGTTCAGCAAACAAGTTAATGAAGTTATCCAATGCCCGAGTGTTATTTTCTCTAAGTCAAATGTTGTCACTTATTACCTTTGCATGTCATAGACATGGATGCTTGTATTGTTGATCTCACCAATTGCATCTCCCATGGCCAATCTTGTCAAGGATTCATTTAGGGCTACCATAGGAAACAAACGAACAATTTCCTTCAATGCGGCCATCGAGCTTTTCATGCAATTCCTACGCATGACTGAGTTACCAGGGTCCATTGTCTGTAAAATGAATGTAACCACCTGCAAACCTGTCTAAATGTTAGACATACTAATACCTAGAAGTGGTCCAATGCTTAGAAGAAGTGTTTAACAAAACTAATACTTGATAATTACATAACATTCAGTCTTTATTACATAAATTAAAAAAGGTAAAAAGAAGCGATAAAACAATACAGAAAAAATGGGTGGCCTTAGAAAGAAGAAACATAGAACCACATTTAGAAGATGTAGAAAGCTCAGAAAGTAAAAATAACCAGATACGAAGAATAGATGGTTTTTCTTTTGCCAGGATGGTTAGAATCAGAGTTTGTGCCAAAAATGTAGGAAGACAGAAAACACCTTATTAGTCTTTCATTAGCATAAAATATCCATCCCACTATAACATAAATATATCCAGGAGGAAAATAAATCAAGGATCAAAAATAAGGAAATCAATGATAATCATGTATCATGAGACACTTTTGTTGACCCGTGGCTATCACTCACATGTTTAGTCTAAACCATGATCATAACTTTTTATTTTTTTTTAAAAAAATGTGCTTCTCACATAAACAGTGAATCCTAGAACAGTAAAGTATAAAGTTCATGTATTATGTTCTCCAAAACAGTAATTATCTCAACTTCTCAAGTCTCAAAATATTTCTCAATCTAAAAGACACATTGTTACAGACCTTGTCAAGGTACTGAACTAAATTCCTTGGAGACCCACGTGCAACCCTGATAAGAGTCATGACGGATACCACATGCACAGGTGAATCAGATGCAGTTGACCAGACTTGGCTTTCTATTACATTCAGAAAACCTAGAATGTCAGCCATTGCTAAACTTGGAAGAAGAATGCCAACCAAAGTTTCATGAATTTTGACAGATAGGGATGACTTTTTCATGGATGCATTAGCAGATGCACCGCTGACACACTCAATTTGAAAGAATATGTCCCCAATCAGTCGAGGTATTTCAGAACCAATGCATGCCTTCCATGTCCTCTCCATACCTTCTGCTAGAATCTCTGCAGCAGTGGAACTATATTTTTCATTCATGGCCATTACCAACTTCATCAATGGGTGAACAACTAACATGGCAAGTTTTGGTTTCACGAGGCTAGGATACCAAACAGCCAATGCAGCAGCAACAATAATATGAGATGTCATTGCATCTTGGCTTGTGCCTCCAACACAAGAAATCCAATCTTGCATTTCAACTGACTCTAGCCATGATAATATTTCAGATTCTTTATCCTCAGAATCTGTTTCTATCCAGTCATGTTTCTCAGTCCTTGAGCAGTCTCCTGGTTTATCTGTTGTGACTGAATTATAGTTTTCCCTTTCTAATAGTCCATTTGAATAATCCATAAAAGCTTCACAATGTGTTGTTTTATCCGAGCAGAGTGGAGGAGGTATGGCTCGTGAAGCAGCACAATGGAACAAAGAGCGTGCAGCCATTTTTACATGTTCAATCTCATCTTGCCAAAAGCTTACCAAAAGCTTCAAAAAAATATAAATAAATAACTATCAAATAGGTTGACTTAAGAATTTACAAATATATATTAAACATGGCAAAAATCAAAAGATGATTTCGTTTTTCAACCTTGGCAACAAGATAAATGGACAACAACAACTAATTGTATCAAATCCAACCATCAACCAGATATATGAATTCAGAAGGTCAAAAACTTTTCACATAGCATGTTACCTGCAGAAAAGGAGGCTTAATGTCTGGGATCTTTTCTGTTAAGTTGCGCATGTAAAATGCTGAAAGTGCACTACAAGACATTACAAAAGAGCCATCAATAAGTGCCAGATGCCATCATATATTCATATGTTCCAAAAATGGAAGGAATAAGAAATCCACTAAATGCCCCTGAGCTTCTAGGTCAAGCCTCAGAACTCAGAAGTGATACTTTGTTGCCAATTATTCAGAGAATGTGCACAAATAATGTAAAGTAGCATCCAGCAACGAGGACGTGGAAATCAATATAC